ACCTGGAGATTTATCGCACAATCCCCCGGACGATGGGGTGGTAATTTAGTCGCCCTCTTTTTACTGAAGGCGATAGCCAAATCGGTATACTCGGAAGGAATGTGCATAGTGGAAACCTGGTTTGGACTTTCCATCGTAGTTGCCCCCAAGGAAACTCCTAAACACCTTCCCGAACACTGACCGGACCATCCCTTGAGAGCCCTCTGTTGCCATGAAATCGTGGGGTCATGAATGGTTAACCAGGGAAGTCCCAACACCACAGGATACGCAGGAGAATCAATCAGATATAGGCTAATCCTCTCCTCATGACCCCCCTGCGTCATCAGCAGCACTGGAGCGGTGACCTCCCTGATTATGCCTGACCCTAACGGGCGACTATCTAATGCATGCACAGGGAAAGGTTTATCAACAGACACAGTAGGAATCCCTAAACTACGGGCATACTGGCGATCAATAAAATTCCCAGCCGCGCCTGAATCTACTAGTGCCTTATGCTGGGAATGGGGAGAAAACACTGGAAACATAATATCAATACACATATTAGCAACAGGGAGCTCTGGGATAGTCGGGTGCCTACTCACCTGAGACGGTCGACCAGTGCTCTGCCTGCTGCCTCGACCTCCTGAGAACCCTCCCCAGCACCGACCAGCAGTGTGTCCTCTGCGGCCACAGTTGGTGCAGGGGACGGTCCCTCTCCAAGTCTCCCTAACCGCAGCACCTCCGAGCTCCATGGGGGTAGGCTCGGAGGTGCTGGTGGATGGAATGGACGGCCCCTCATCAGAACATCCGCGGGCTGCCAACAGGTTATCCAACTTGATGGACATGTCCACCAGTTGGTCCAGGTTGAGATTGGTGTCCCTGCAGGCCAGTTCCTGACGGACGTCCTCCCTTAAGTTGCAACGATAGTGGTCGATCAGGGCCCTCTCATTCCATCCCGCACTGGCTGCTAAAGTTCTAAACTCCAGTGCAAAATCCTGTGCGCTCCTCATCTCCTGTCGTAGGTGGAACAGACGTTCTCCCGCCGCTCTCCCTTCAGGTGGATGATCGAATATCGCCCGGAAGCGGCGGGTGAAATCCTCGTAGTGGACAGTTCTTGAGTCTATTCCTCCCCACTCGGCGTTGGCCCACTCAAGCGCCTTCCCCGATAGACAGGAGATGAGGGCGGACACGCTCTCGTTTCCCGAGGGCGCCGAGTGAATAGTGGCCATGTAGAGCTCTACCTGGAGGAGAAATCCCTGGCACCCGGCAGGTGTACCGTCATGTGCCCTCGGGAGCGAGAGCCGAATTCCACTGGACCCAGGTGGCGAAGTGGTAGCCAGTGTTGTAGGTGGTTGTGTGGTTGGAAATAGTGAAGGGATACCACCTCTCTCCAATCGTTCCATCTGGAACACTCGTTCCATTGTGGCACAGAGAGTCTGAATCATCGTCTCTTGACGTTGGACTCGTTCCTCCATCGTCTCGGTAAATCTGGCTGTTCCTGCTGACTCTATATCGGTGCGTATTTCTGTCACGGTGTCAGTGTAACGCAGTAGACGAAGTCAAGCGCAGGACACAGAACTCAATGAAAATGTAACTTTACTGAACACGTAAAGAAACAAGAAAACCTCCACGCAGGGAGGAACAAACCCGCTCACTATCGACACCCGAAACAAACAAACACGCACAGAGCACAATGGGAGCCACAGGGTTAAATAGGGACGGAGTAATACAAGATGGGAAACAGGTGTGAAGCAATCCATAAAATCTGGTCTAAGGCGGCCATCTTGCTGACAGATCCTAAAGAGATAAACAACTGCTTCAAATAATTTTACTCAGTTATATTCTTCCAGATCTGATGCTTCTAGTTCTGATGTAGCAGCCTTTTTGACTCCATCAGCCTGACAAAAAAAAATAGAATTTAACTCAAATTTCACAACAGAGGAAATAATCGAGGCAATAAAAGCTTTCCCACCTGGAAAGGCTGCAGTCCCGGATGGTTTTGGCTGTGAATTTTATAAAACATTAAGTGAAGCTCTCGCTCCCCTCTTACTCAGAATGATCACTGATTCAACAGAAAATAACATTTTGCTGAAATCATTGTATGAAGCCAATATTTGCCTTCTGTTAAAAAAAGGCTGAGGTAACAGATCCTGCAAATTATAGACCAATAGGATTGCTTAATTTCGATTTTAAAAGATATGGTTGAACAAACATGTAAGAACCATTATTCACCCAGATCAGACAGGGTTTATCCCCGGCAGGTTCTCTTTTTCTAATGTGCGCAGGCTTCTTAACATTCTATATGCAAATCATGGGAAAGTCTCCAAGTGGCTATTATATCGCTAGATGCTCAAAAAGTGTTTGACCAAATAGAATGGTAATACACGTTTGAAGCACTCACTAGATTTGGATTTGGCGACTCATTTATCACCTGGGTCAAAACACTCTACGCCTGCCCAACATCCTCTATTCTGACCAACAGCGACAAATCCATTCCCTTTGAACTACATAGATCTGTCCAGCAGGGTTGCCCACTCAGTCCTCTGCTCTTCGCTGTCTCCCTTGAACCCCTGGCGATACAAATAAGGGATCAGCCTAATATCCAAGGTCTTAAAGTAGGAAACATAGAAAGCATAATTTCATTATATGCAGACGATGTGCTTTTATACCTCTCAGACCCAGTAGCCTCTGTCCCTAACCTACCAGACTTAATCAATTCATTTGGCAAACTATCTGGATATTCAATAAATTGGGGAAAAAGTGACCTCATGTGTATCTCAGATAATTTTTACAACAAGTGAGCTAGAGAGGATGCCATTTAAAGTGGTGTATGACCACTTAACTTACCTGGGACTAAACATACCTAGAAACCCAAAGCTCATCTGTAAAGAGTATTTTTCTCCAACTACACAGAGGCATCTACTGGTCATCTCAAGGAGACCTGGGGTAAAGAGTATTTTTCTCCAACTACACAGAGACATCTACTGGTCATCTCAAGGAGACCTGGGGTAAAGAGTATTTTTCTCCAACTACACAGAGGCCTCTCTACTGGTTGAATAATAATGAAGCTAGGTAAATACAATTAAAATAATATAGCTAGTAACTTCAAAATACATACAGCTGAAATACACTGCCGTTTTCTTTGTGAACATGGTGAGATAGAGGAAACCGCATCCACATGTAGAGTTGTGGGGGAGGGGACAAGTTTCTCAAATAGACACTGGCTTTGGATCAGGTTTGAATTTCTCCCACTAATGATCCTTGTTAGGTTTGGGGGAGGGGAAGCTGATCCTAGATCTGTATCTAGGGGAAACTTCACCCCAACAAAGAGAGATGGGGGAAGGGGAGGAAAGAGAGCGTTGCTCTCAGGATTGACAGATCATGTACAAAATCTACCAGTAGGAAATTGGTGTCAGAATATAATATCTGACCTTTAGCAGTTCTAATGTCTTCATTTGCTCCATTTCATTAGTCTTGTTGATTGATTGCTGATATCTAGTTTCACAGGTGAGATGGTGTTGATGAAGAGCATCCATCCGTTTTAGTAACGCATTAATAGTAATGCATTCATAGACATATAGTTGATACTGGTGGTCCTACCCATCCCCCACTTCACTCCATTAACCCTACACTTGCTGCTCACATGGTGGTTTGTTTAAATGTATCTGACTTTAGGTCAGTTTTTAAGGTTAAGAAGGTAAATATTGTGTTAGGCTGTTTCAGGAGCACTAGTGGTAGTGCTGACGCTCCCAGATCACACATTGCCCTATATAAGTATATACTGTAGCAAGCTGAACCCAACACCTACTAATTAACACCTTCTGATCTCTTGGTGTAATGGATAAGGTGTTGGCTTGATAGTCACTGGACCCGGGTTCGAGTCCCGGTTGGAGCTACCCCCAAATTCGTTACACTGGTGTCAGAAGTGGGATAGTGCCTGTGAGTTCATCAAAGAGGCATGTACACGTGAGAGACTTGCTATAAAGAAGTGTGGGGACATGCTCTCCCCAAGGAAAGGGGTAATGTAGCAACCTTAATCCAACACCTAGTGACATCATCGAGAGGTTCGGACCTCTTGGCGTAGTGCTTGTTGGGTTCTGACTTCTAAACTTGAAATATGAAATGTACTTATTCATGTCACTGAGAGAGAGAGGGGAATGTATAACGTTTACATTCTGTCAGGATGTTATTGTTAGCCATCAGGGATCCTACGGGAGGTGAAGAGACACAGTCTGGTACAAGTCAACATGACAGCCGTGAGTTGGGGAGGAGTGAGCAATTTGGGCAGAAGGTAACAGAATATTTTATTATAGTGGTTAAGAGTGACTTTCATTGTGTTCCATGGTGTTTATCGTCCCCTAGTGGAGCTTTCTGGTACTTAGAAGAATGTACAAAAACCGGAAGTAGGGTAGTCATTCTGCATGCAGACAAGCAGCTTTAATAAACGCTACAGTTCTTTCTGTGCAAATATTTCTTGTCACGCTTCAGCCTCTGAAAATATTTATTTGTAAGTTCAATTCAAGTATATTGCTAGTGATGATAATATTGTTATTGATAGAATTGCTTACTTATCAATGTTAGTTGGTTACATTTACTCACGCAAATTGCATTGACTTTCATGGATGCCATCAGCTGTATTAGTTTGCTCGTGCGTCATGTAAGTGAATTGTAAAACATACTATACTATAGTTTGTTACTGTTTCTGGAGTAATATGCTTTGTTATTGTACAGAGGTGTTTGCACATTATTAGAGTAATGAAAGTAGTTGGCTAGTTGCTACTCATATGGTAATTATCTATCTGGTTTGTCGTCATGTCAGATACATGGTACCTTGGCACTTGCTTTGTATTTATGCAACTTCAACTTGAAATGTATAATGTACAGCTACACTATGTCAATGTGAATTGGATACTAAAGTATATTACTTTCTGTATTTTGCAGTTACACAACATAAACGTTTTCAAAGAAAAGTCACGCCTTGGAAGTTTTATTGAAGACTCAGTTGTTAGCTATCTGTCTAGTTTTGCATGGGAACGCAATTCCAGGGCAGAATAGTGAAAAAACATCATCACGGCGGGCTCAAGCACAAGAATTATCGCACGTGGTGGTTATGACTCTACGTTCATTAGCCAACAAAGCCTCTGATCCTAGGGATGACCAGCAGTCTACGATGCAGCAACCAGAGGCAAATGTTCGACAGAAAGAGGAAGAGGAGCGAGTAAGAGAGATGGAGGAGCCTCTTCAGCACATTGAGACCAAGTCTCAGTCTACAAGATCAAGGTCATCAAAACAGTCAAGCAGATCCTCAACGGCGAGTTCTGCAGCCATCAAAGCACGTGCCAAGGAGGACTCAGCGCGTGCTCAAGTCTCCTATGCTGAAAAGGAAGCTTCTGTGATGAAACAAAAGGCAGAACTGGAGGCCAGCTTGTTGAAGCAAAAAGCTGACCTCGATGTAAGTTTATATGTTCTCCAAGTTGAGAGAGCAGCTGCTGCTGCGTTGGCTGAAGCTGCAGCCTTTGAAGAAGCTGTAGAGTCAGAACGCAGAGAGCTCCACAAAGAACTCAACACAGGGACACAGCCCTTAAGTCCAGTCCAACGTACTTGTGAGTATGTGCAACAACATGCTAGGCCCTACTTTGCTGAAATGCCATTTGAAGTAGAGACACAAGAGCTTAGTGTTGACCCAGCTGCACACCACAATCCAGAAAGTAGCAAACAACGGAGCATGAGCAGAGACTCTCCGTTCAAAAGAAATGAACAGCAGCATGGTGGAAAGGGAAAACAGGCCCACTTCCAGTCACTGACACAAAGCTTCCCTGAGTCACAAGTGGCACCAGAACTCACAAAGTACCTCCTGCACCGTGAGATGGTGAGTTCCGGACTCCTGAAGTTTGATGATCGTCCTGAAAATTATCTAACTGGAAAGCATATTTTCTCAATGCGACCAGAGACTTGAATCTATCAGCCAGGGAAGAGTTAGATCTAATTACCAAGTGGCTAGGGGCAGAGTCGTCTGAGCAAGCAAAGAGAATTAGATCTGTCCATATTCTCAATGCAACAGCAGGACTTAACATGGTCTGGCAATGACTAGAAGAGTGCTATGGTACACCCGAAGTGATCGAGAATGCACTGTTGAAGAAAATTGATGATTTTCGAAAACTGTCTAACAAAGACAATCACAAACTAAGAGAACTGGGTGACATTCTTCTCGAACTGGAGTGTGCTAAAGAAGAAGGGTACCTTCCAGGCCTCGCTTATCTGGACACATCTCGGGGGGTAAACCCTATAGTAGAGAAACTTCCATTCAGTTTACAAGAGAAATGGATAGCACAGGGATCCAAATACAAGGAGGACTATCGGGTAGCATTCCCACCATTCTCGTTTTTACCAAGATTCATCAGGAACCAGGCGAAAACTAGAAACGACCCCAGCTTCCCCCTCTACACCTCAACTACCCAGGTGTCTGTGAAAAGTGAGAAATCTGTCAGGTACAGCAGCAAGACACCTGTGGCTGTACACAAAACAGACGTGTCATCTGAGCCCTCAGACCACCAAACCAAACCCAGTAAGACAAAGGTTGAAAGCCCTGACCATCACTGTCCAATACATAACAAGCCTCATCCTCTTAAAAAGTGGTGTGGGTTTAGATACAAAACTCTAGATGAGCGCAAATCATATCTCAAAGAGAATGGCATTTGCTTCCGATGTTGTGGGTCAACTCAGCACAGAGCTAAAGACTGTAAGGTGTCAATCAAGTGCTCTGAGTGTGACAGCGACAGACATCTTGCTGCTCTGCATCCAGGTCCAGCCCCTTCAACTACAGACACCGCTACAGCAGAGAAAGGGCATGGCGGGGAGCAAGGTGAAGATGCTCTTCTATCAGTCACCTCAAAGTGTACCGAGATCTGTGGTGAGGCAGCCAATCCAAGATCATGTTCAAACATATGCCTAGTCAAATCTTATCCAGCTGGGAAAAGAGAGAAAGCTGTCAAAATGTATGTAGTGCTTGATGAACATAGCAACACATCTCTGGCCAAGACAGAGTTTTTCAATCTCTTCAACATCAATGACAACTCTGCTCCATACACCATGAATACCTGTTCTGGGGTAACAGAGACTTCAGGCAGGAGAGCCGTCAACTTCATGGTGGAGTCTATAGAAAGACACAAGAAGCTCACTCTCCCTACTCTGATAGAGTGTGACATGATGCCAGACGATAGAATGGAGATTCCCACCCCAGACATTGCGCATCATCATCCCCATCTGCAACCAGTGGTGGACAAAATTCCAGCTGTGGACCCAGACGCTCCCATCCTCCTGCTCTTAGGATGAGACATCTTAAGGGTACACAAGGTACGAGAGCAAATCAATGGGCCCCACGACACTCCTTATGCACAGCGACTCGACCTTGGGTGGGTCATCGTGGGTGAGGTTTATCTGGGAACGGCTCGCCGACCAGCCAGTGTTAACGTGTTTAGGACAAACATACTTCACAATGGTCACACGTCCTATCTGAGCCCTTGCCCTGACATCATCCAGGTGAAAGAGAACTACAGCAGCGTAGCTCAGCAACACATCTCTCTCTCTACAGGCCACTCGTGAGATCCAAGCACAACTGTGAACACAGACAGCCTGGGATGTTCTGTGTTCGACAAAACACAAGACGATGATAAACCAGCACCATCTGTGGAAGACAAAGCCGCCTTGGACATTATGGACAAACAGGTTTTCCAGGATGATGGAAACAACTGGGTGGCTCCACTACCCTTTCGCCCCACTAGACGTCGTCTTCCTAATAACAGGGAGCAGGCCATGAAGCGTCTCACATCACTTCGTAGGACTTTAGACTAAAAGCCTGACATGAAACTTCATTTTATTGACTTCATGCAAAAGATGCTGTGAGCAGGAATCACCACGATTTACAGTCGAACTAGAGATTCCCAATCAGTGAAACAGGAGCCGGCACCAAAAACAAGGTAGGCACAGTTCCTACACCTGTTACCACTCATTCTGACATCTTGGGGAGATGAGAGTCGTAGGCTGAACCAATTATAGGATACGGACATAGAAAGCCTGAGCTTCTTCAGTAGTCCCATTGTATTACGACCGGTCGTAGCTTTATGGTACATGGTAAGTCCCGGAAGGTAAGCCCGAGCAGGTTGGTACCTGTAGAGGGTAAGTCCTAGAGGGTTAATCCCGGGTGGGATTTGTTCCCTGCTAAACCTGTAACGAGAGGGTGAAAGTCTCAGCCGCAGTGTCCGTGAGGCAGTATAATGTGTGTGGGTGGATAAAGTGTTATGCTAATGTTAGGATAAAAGGTTGCCTATAAGTTCTGGAGAAGAGCCTCATCCGTGGTTAGAAAAGGATATTCAAATGTTGTTTGAACATGATTTGAGTGTATTAGCAGTAGCAATAAGGAGAGAGGTTGGTTAATGGCCTATTGGGGCAGGGAAACAGTGACAGAGTTTGAGGAAACAGGAAGACAACTGTGAGTCATTTTGGTAATGTGTGTTATCAACAACAGTGATATTTGAGGCGTAACACTGGAATAAGACATAAGATCACCCGTATTCTCCAGTAATACATTTGCAGACGCTATAGTATTGGTTCTAATACAAGGTATTAAGTGCCGTGTGTCACGCCCTGACTTATGGAACTCTTGTATGTTGAGTCAGGGTGTGGAGATCTATGTTATTATTTCTATGTTTACATTCTAGGTATTGTGTTTCTATGTTTGGCCGGGTGTGATTCCCAATCAGAGGCAGCTGTCGCTCGTTGTCTCTGATTGGGGATCATACTTAAGTTGCCTGTTTGCAATCATTAGTTGTGGGATCTTGTTCCGTGTATAGGCTTGTATTGTGTTTAGCCTGAGGACTTCACGTTACGTTGTTTTGTTGTTTTGTTCGTGTGTTTATTTTTAATAAATAAGCATGTATGCATTTCACGCTGCGCCTTGGTCTGACCCGTCCTTCAACGAACAAGACAGAAGATCCCACCACCAAAAATGGACCAAGCTGCGTGCCCAGGAGGAGCAAACACATTGGACACAGGTGGTGAAGATGTGGTCTTGGGAGGAGATATTTGCGGGGAAAGGACCATGGGCGAAGGTAGAAGCCCAGGCAGGAGAGGAGAAACGGCGACCCAAAAGAACTCGGTCAGGAAGAAAGCCCGAGAAGCAGCCCCAAGAAAAATGTTTGGGGGGGGGGCACACGGGGTGGTTGGCGGAGCCTGGGTTCAGAGCAGAGCCAACTCCCCGTACTCACACTAGGAAGCGTGTGACCGTGCAGGCTCCGTGTTATGCGGAGCTACGCACTGTGTCGCCAGTGCGCCGGCACAGTCCAGTGCGTCCTGTGCTAGCGCCACGCACGTGCCGTGCGAAAATGGGCATCCAGCCAGGACGGGGTGTGCCGGCTCAACGATCCTGGTCTCCAGTACGCCTCCTTGGTCCAGCATATCCTGCGGCGGTTCTACGTACTGAATCGCCAGCACGCGTGCACAGTCCAGTGCGTCCTGTGCTAACGCCACACACGTACTGTGCGGAAGTGGGCATCCAGCCAGGACGGGTTGTGCCAACTCTCCGCTCCAGACCTCCAGTCCGCCTCCACAGTCTGGTACGCCCAGTACCTGCTCCCCGCACCAAACCAGTGGTGCGCGTATCCTGTCCGGTACGGCCCGTGCCAGCTCCTCACACCAAACCAGTGGTGCCTGTCGCCAGCCCGGTACGTCCCGTACCTGCTCCCCGCACCAAGCCAGTGGTGCCTGTCGCCAGCCCGGTACGTCCCGTACCTGCTCCCCGCACCAAGCCAGTGGTGCGTGTTCCCAGTCCAGTACGGCCCGTCCCTGCTCCTCGCACCAAGCCAGTGGTGCGCGTCACCAGTCCGGCCCGGGCCGGGCTGGCGACGCGCACCACTGGCTTGGTGCGAGGAGCAGGAACAGGCCGGGCCGGACTGTGGAGGCGGACTGGAGGTCTAGAGCGGGAGCTGGCACAACCCGTCCTGGCTGGCTGCCCACTTTCGCACTACACGTGCGGGGTGCTGGCACAGGACGCACTGGGCTGTGCACTCGCACTGGCGATACAGATCGTAGAACTGGCGCAGGATATGCGGTACCGAGGAGGCGTACTGGAGACCAGGAGCTTTGAGCCGGCACACCCCGTCCTGGCTGGATGCCCATCTTCGCACGTCACGTGCGTGGTGCAAGCACAGGACGTAGAGGACTGTGCCGGCGCACTGGCGACACAGTACGTAGCTCCGCATAACACAGAGCTTGCCCAGTCATACGCCTCTTCGCGTGAGTACGGGGAGTTGGCTCTGCTCTAACCCTAGGCTCCGCCAACCACCCAGTGTGCCCCCCCAATTTTTTTTTATTGGGGCTGCTTCTCGGGCTTCCTCCTCGACCGGCCTCCTCCGTGTTGCCGTTGCTCCTCTCCTGCCTGGGCATCTAACTTAGCCCATGGTCCTTTCCCCGCAAATATCTCCTCCCATGACCACAAATTGGCCACCTGTGACATGGCCATCTGCTCCGCCTGGGCACGCTGCTTGGTCCGTGTTTGGTGGGATCTTCTGTCATGTTCGTTGAATGACGGGACAGACCAAGGCGCAGCGTGATATACGTACATGTTTATTAACGTAATAAACACTTGACAAAACAATAACCGAAACGAAACGTGAAGTCCAAGGTAGTACACACAACATACCTTACAAGGAACAAGATCCCACAACCCACTAGTGCCAATAGGCTGCCTAAGTATGATCCCAAATCAGAGACAACGAGCTACATCTGCCTCTGATTGGG